ACCCAGAATCTCAAGTGGTCCCACTGCACCAATTCAAACAAATCAAAGACTTAGTTTAAAGTCTGTCAGATCAAATCTGGATGAAACATTATCCAACACTTCAAGGAAGAAAAGGAACATTGGCCCTTTATATTCAGGGTTAGACAGCGGCCAGCTCTGCATACGATGTAGGAGAAAGGGAGTCAGGAACCTTGTGTCCTTGGGAAAAGGCTGGGCACAATGTGACTGAAGAGTGCTGTTGATGATGCTATGTCAAGACAAAACATCTACCCTCCAAGGAGAGGAAGTAGCCAGGGAGGCAGCATGATCTAGTAAACAGGACACTGGACTGGGAGTCAGGAGACCTAGATTGTATTCCTAGCCAGTGACTCACTGTAAACTTGGGCAAGCGACTTCTCCTCTTTCTGCCTCAGTTTCCCATTTGTAAAGTGGGGATAACAATTTTTACCTTTCTCGGGAAAGCACTTTAAGGTCTATGGAAATATCAATAACTACTTAACTGTTAATATTATTATTAATATAGCCTGCAAAAGGATGGCAAAGCTGCTGCCGAGGAATCAATGCATAATCTAGCCCAAGGTCATTGAGTGAGTCTGTCAGAGCTGGGAATAGAACCCTGGCTGCTTGAATCCTAATTCTGTACCTTAACCACAAGGCATCTTTCCTCTGTTAATAGCCCTGCTGCTGGCCAGGCACAGGGGCTTCTTCTGTCAAAGTGATAAGAAACCCTACTTGGCCAAGCACTGAGGGATCACAGTACCTTGGTAGGAACAAAAGAATCTCTCAGTGTAAATCAATGTCTGGTAAACCCCAGCTGTGTTTTCTGATGCTTGGTACTTGTGGTACAGCAGAATTACCAAGCAGCAGCTGCCTGGCATCTCACAGACCAGATGGGCAACCTGGCAGGGCTATGTGGCATTAGCAGTTCTTTCATCTCCCTGCCTTTCTTGATCTGAACAAGCCTTAAGCATCTTGAACCTGATTCTCCACTTATTTACAACAGTGTAAAACAGGAATTCCAAATTCAATGGAGTTACACTAGAGTAAAACTGGTGTGAGGCCAGAATCAAGCCCATTATGTGGAAAATATCAAAGCCTCTAAGGAGTCACATATAGCCTAGTCATTGGAATCCAGCCTCAGTTGAGCCACTGCATATCAAGAGTCATGGTCCCATAGCAAGTATACAGGGATAGGAGTGACCCTAATGATCTGAGCTACTACAGACAGGGAGACAGGAAAAAGTAAAAAACAGCTCTCCATGGTGAATCCTGTTAGCCAAAAACAGTATTCATTACAAAGGGATACCTAGGGCAGATTTTTTTCTGCTAAGATCTCAACAGTTGAGAGAGAGAGATCTATCATGGACCAAGAGGAACAGAAAAGCTGAGAGAACCACATTGGAGAGAGACTCTTCAATGCCAGAAAATTACTCTAACTTAAAAAAAAATAGGCTCTGGCACTTGGATCTCACAGAGATGGGTCCTATTTAAGAACCTACGTATAAAAATAGATATAACAAACCCTGTTAATGCAATAAGACAGACTGTGCATGCATAAAAGTCAGGCAGTTCCCATCACAGCAATCACTCAGCTAAAACCCAGCAGCGCAGGGACTATTATTATTTCCCACAACTAAGTGGCAATTCTGAGGCTCTTTGCTGCTGTCAGGCAGTGGCACTCTGATTCAGACAAGATTCACACAGGGGTCCTGGAAGAGTCCTCAATGTTTCATCCTCCAAGGAGGAGCCAGCCCTATGCAAAGACCATGCATGTTCTTCAAACATAAGCCTGGAAGGAGCAAACAGCCACTTTAGGCAACACATTGCTCATAAACAGCCATCTACTGAGTCTGTCAAAGGAAATGATCCTCCTACTTCCAAAGGAAAGTATGGACGGGATAATAATTGTTGAAGTTCAGGAGCATTAACTGCTTGGAGCTGTCAGGGCCTTTTCTGACATGTTCACTGAAGCTCTGAATTCCCCATCAGTCTGAAACAACTGACAGAAGTCTGTGCTCATGTCCTAAATAAGCTGCATTTCTTCAGTGAGAGAGGTGCTGAGTTGAGACCACATAGATTGCATCATCACAAAGTAGATCCTGTCCTCTAGGGTACTCTGTTATAACCTGCCACTTACAGCCACCATGCATTCCCGTGCTGCCGTCCAGCTGCGGGTCTGAATTATTTAACGGCCTCAAAGCAGCAAAAGCTGCCTTTACAAACAGCAGGGAAGCACCTTCACAGCAGAATATTCCATTAATGAAAAAGGAGCAGGAGTTGTATGATGCTCATGGGAGAGCTTTCTGCATTTCAACATTAAACAAAACTCACTCTGCTTTAGATGTGTCCAGATGACATACTTGCAGCCTCTCTTGGCCTAGGGACTTTAAAAGGGAAGGAAAACAGTCCTGAATTGCAGTTTGAAGGGCCCCTCTGCAATCAGGGATTATGTTAGTCACTGAGACAGCACCTTCTGACAGGTGATCTGTGAAGCAGAACAGGCACCAGCTGCAGAAAGGGCAATAATGGCACATTTCAATCCCTTCTCCTGGGTTAATGAGCCTGGTACTTAGCCAGCAGGACGGATAGGGAGGGAAGGAAACAAAGGCACCTACTCAACTCAGTTTACAGGCTACATGCAAATTCCCATGTGCAAATTGACTTCTGCTTAAGCCGGAACCACACCTGCTCTGGAGGACTGCCTGTACAGTGGGTGCATCTGAGCCCTGTGCGTGCATCTGTATGCATACTAATGAGTTGTGTGTTTGTGCGTACTGTATGTGCGTGTTCATCTTCCATGCACAGGTTTGGAAATGGAGCCCACATTCTGCAAGGTACATAATTCCAGTTATAGCCACCGGTTCACGGGAGAGATGCGCTACAAGGGGCATAACAGCAGTTAAGTTGGTATGGTGGCTCCTTCAGTACCACAATTGGCCCATTGTGTGAAATCGGGTCTAAGACTTTTTAGCGTGGACCTGGTTTTATACTCTACCCCAATGCTGAGAAGTTTCTCACTCTCAGCGCTCCTGACATCAGCATGCTGGGTTGGCATCCGTCACTACGACTTTTGCCTACACATAAGGGCTGCACAGACATTGGGGGACACTGTTTCAAAGCTGTGGGAGGTCTATAAACAACCCTTTTAAGGCATAAGGAAGTACTGTGGAGGGAGTGTGTCTAGTGGGTCAGAGCAGAGGATAAGGAATAGGGACTTTTAGTTCCATTCCCAGCTATACAGATGACATGCTGTAAAATGGGGATAATGATACTGTCCCACTTTACTAACTTGCCTTTAGTTTTAACTTGCAGTGCATGGGCTAGCCTCGTGCACTCAGCTGCCATGCAGGAGATTAAAGGGGGAATCCCAGTCTTGTTTCTCTGCCCCACGGCTAGACCGAAGTGGGACTATCGGAGTTGCTACTATTAAACTGGGAGAGGAAAGGGCTTTTGTTTTTTTCCCCATGGCTACCAGGACAGCCCTTGGATGATACCAGACAGTATGGGTGGGAGCAGACATTGCAAAGAGACTGATTTCTGCTCCCACATGGAGAACGCTTGTTTCATGGCCACCATTTTGGTTGACACCAGGAACTGAAGAGGGCTGAAAGCAGGAGTCTCTACAGCTTAAGCTAAAGAACCCGGCTCTCTAGCTCAGAGCTATAACAGACTGACATCCTTTGTAATGAGCGCAGAAGAGATAACACACACTGACCAGTGGATTACACTAAAACTGCATTTGTTTGATATAGGGATGGGGTTTTTGGTACAGGTCAGGCAGGAGGGCCTGGTATAGGGATGCTGTATTGAGGAGGGGGAAGGATATTTATACTGTTAAGCAGGAGGGATTTTCAAATCAGTAGAATATTAAAAGAGATAAATGTGGCCTGCCATGAAGCTGAAGGCTCAGATCCTTCTTGTCCCCCCGTTTTCTGTCTGGGCCTACCAAGCCCAGAAGGGACCTGTGTTTGTGGCTGAGGATGGTGACAAAGAAAAGTCATGTGATGATGGGGCTTGGAATGGATGAAGAAATACTAAATACAAACAAAACAAGCCATTCTATCTAGGAAGGAATAAAATGTGACAAGATTCCATCACTTCCATGTGAGGAAGGAAACAGCAGGAAATCCTTAATTCCCTATTCTCCTTCCTTCTCATCTTACAGACAGGAAACGCCTCCTTATTGTGGTGTATGGGGTGCAGCACACTTTGCCCACAGAACCAGCCCAGCACGGGCTGTCCTGGCATTTTTTACTGGGGCCACACAGAGGCAAATGGCAACTAGACAAAGTTCATTTAAACTAACTTTCTGTGCATCCTAAAGAGGGGAGGTATAAAACTATCCACTTCCCAATGTAGTCTCAGGAGTTGTATCTCAGTGACTTCTTGGCAGGTCTCACTCAGTGATTCAAAACTCACCTGGCTCCCTGCGATCAAAACAAGGAACTTAGACGCACTTTAAAAATGATAGTTTCCTCCCGTCCAAGCTGAGTTTCAATCCCTGGCTATTTAACCTACAAATCAGGATGAAAAACGAACCACACAAACCACAACATGCCACCCACTCTCAATAACTCTGCATGCCCTTAAAACAGACTTACAGCCTTTCCAACAGCAATTCAAATACAGAGACCTACAGAGCACAAGAGGAGCAGCCAATTCTAAAGGGTAACTGTTCCCTCCTGACCTTGCTGCACTTTATATTACGTTTTGATCCCAGAGTAAATGCTTCTGCAGCATTTTGCACAGAAACTACCAGCAGTTAAGGACCCACAAACTCTTCTAAACTACTGCAAATCTGCAGAATGCCAGCTGGACTGCCTAGTATGCCCTTGTGTCACCAAGCATCTCTTTCTCCTTTTCCAGGATAATTTCTCTCTCCCAGTTTCTTATTAGTTCTGCGAAGCACTGGGAGGGACATAGCTTTATGAGAGATGCTATGTAACAGAAAGCTGCATTGCCCTGTAAGGGTCTGTATGAGACCTGGGACATGCATTTACCTCTGAGAAGCCCTCTTGCAGTATATCCAGTAAATTCCCCCTGGCCAAACAGGCAAGCATTCTTCACGAGCCACGTTCTCAGAGCACACAGAGCAGATCCTCCAGCTCAGGGCGCGATCTCCTTCTCCTCCTCCTCCTCCTTTCAAAGACAAAGAGTTGGAGCTCATCGGGGACCTTATTCATAGTCTCATATGTGCAGCCCGTTACTGCAAACAGGATACTTGAGCCAAAGTCAAGACTCGTACTGAGCATGCTCGTGAGGGAGCCACTGAGGGAGTAGCAGGCGAGATGTCACACGGTTCCTATAGAAACGACTCAGCTCACAGGATGCAGGCCCAGGAACCAGGGGGTGAACATCTGAAACCTATTTCCAGCCAGCGGCCCTGGGCCCTGCGTCTCACACAGCGCCTGCTGGTACAAGAGACTTTCAAACCTACCAAACACAGCACGCCCTGTGCTGTGTGGGGGTGGGGAGAGTGTGCAGGGGAGAGGTTAGCAGATAGCAGATTCCTGGCTTACTTCAGAAAGAAAAGTTGGAGGAAAGGCTGGAACCGCTGCTAGCTATAACTTTCATTGTTGCTGTGAAGCCATGGAGAAAAAGCAGCACGCTCAGCAAACCCAGCTCCAGTACAGCGACAGGAAGCTGCAACCAGGCCCTTAGATAATTAGTTATATTTATACAGCACCTACGCAGGGCTCTGTGTGCCGTGGGATAAAGTAAAGAGGTAAAAGGGAAGCAACTTCCAAAAAACAATTTAACACAAAGAAGCTCTGCAGAGAAAAATTACAGCTAGCCGATCCATCAGACTTCAACCCATCACCATTGTCAAGGGGCACATCCCAAACAGGATGTAGCCTCCTGACTGAGTGCCACCTAGATGTATCTCTAGCTAGGTCCATCAAACAATGGGTTGCTCCAGCAAAGTTTGGCCTTTCTACTTTTACCCAATGCTTGACAGGCATTGCAGGGTTGGCAGGTGATTAGTGAACAACTTATCAAACTTCAGCCCACCCCCTTGTCAAATGCCCAGGAAAAAAATGAGGAGTCTTACAGTGTGGCCAGAAGATTAGCAGATCCAGGCTCTTTCTGCAAAGATATGCAGCAATCCCAGAACTGCCCAGTGACACTCAAGCTGCTCCTTTGGATTTCATCACGTGGTTTTGGCCATGCATTTCTGAGCAAGACAATATATTTAAAACACACAATTGTTTCCTGCCCAAATATAAAAAAGCAGAAGGCTCTGGAGTGGTTATCAATGCACAGATATAGTATGCTTTGATAGTGTTCTCTCTAATACAACTGGGTGGAACAAAATCATGGGACCAAAGAGTATGCATTATTGCCTGCAAAAATTCAGAAACTCGGGCTACAGGTCATCCACCAACATTGCCAACCCCAAGCTTTCAAAAATGAGTTGGGCCCCAAAAATCATGAGAGTGGCTTAACAATCATATGATTTAAAAAAAAATTAATACATTTTAGGTTCTTTTTATTTGCTGTCTGGTGATCAACGTTTTCAAGCTTTTCTCCAACCACAATGGCTCAAAACTTACATTATTTTTTACTATTTAATAAAAGCTGAGATTCTTGTGTAATCACATGATTGCAAGGGCTGAGGCTTAAAGATAAATGACAACTATTGTGTGACTCACAATAAAATCATGAGGGCTGGCAACATTGCTTATGTGCACTCAAGCCCGTCCCTCGTGAATCCTTGGTCTTGTCCTGCTTTTGGAACACAAAATGGCCAACAGAGTGAATGCAGTTAAGATTCAATCACAAGTTTTAATAAATAAAATAGATTGTGCCTTTAGGTTTTCAAGCAAGAGCTAGATAAAAGGTCCTCCTGGGGCAGAAATGTGACCTCAGCTGAGAAATAATGTTCTCAGCTTTTGCAAAAGACATTATAATCAAACCCTCAGCTATTAATCTCAAAACCAGGCCCTATTTATGATCTACTTTTTAATGCAGAAAGTGCTATATAGTAAATACATATTTGTAGCAGATATCTGAGCATTAACAAGTGAGGATATTATGGTCATCTCTCTGCATCAATTGAGTTTAAGACATAAAAAATGAGACAGAAATGTAGTTAAGCAAAATCAAATGCATGCAAGTGCAAAGCACTCATCTGCATAGAAAGGTGACAGATGTCTCAAGTGGTCTTTGATTTTTTTACAATTTGGTTTATGAGTTTTATAGCAGATTAAATATGATCTGCTTATAATCTCTACAGTCAAGAGATATTTTTCAGCCACAGGGAAGGCAGGCAGCCCCCAACTCCGGATTTTTTTTTTAAATGACAAAACATAGAGAGATGAGCTTGACCAGCTTTGCAACCTGGGGCATCCATAGTATTTAATCTGTAAAATATATTGTTCAAATAATGCCAAACCAAATTCACTGAGAAGAATTTTCCATTTTTCTTGGTCCCAAGGAGAATTTAGTGGGTGGCTTGCTCTATTAATATTAGGTAATGATGAAGCACCTTTATTAGCGCTTTCACCCCAGAGTCCAGAGACTGGAAAACATTTGGGCAACAAATTGAGATGCTGCCAGCTGCTTTAGGGAGTTAACTCTGCTGTTAAGTTCTTGCAGACAGTTTGTAACCTTCCATTCGGCTACAGAAGCCATAAATGAGATCATGGCAGAGACTATGCCAGCTTGTCTGGGATGCAGATTCACTTTCTCCAGAAGTAGGTGTGACTATACAAAAATCTGGAGTATAAACAACAATCCCAGGTTTCAGTGTAGGCTCTATATGGCACCAACACCTGGAAAAATGTAACAATCGGGGCCTGAAATAAGGAGTAAGCCCTGGCCTGGCCCAACACATACAGTATATTGTACATGGTACACCCTCCAGGGCACCCTGGAGTGAGTATCGATTGACACTGACAGGGCACATCACGCCATACATGGAACACCATGCACAGCACACTGCACCACACAAGGCACACCTAGTTCACTGCAAATGGTGACGGCTGACACGGTTAACAGATTGGATGTTACACACAGTTGAGAGCCTCATGAATTGAGCAGCTGTTTTCACATAGTGACCAACAGCAGAGTCCCTGTACCTTCTTTGGAAAGCCTTGTGGCAGAATCACTGAATGGGAGGGACAGGCCTTGATGTTCATGGGGTGGCTGTGTCTTGCAGGAAAAGCAGAGTCCAGTGCAGTCTGGGGAAATGGCATTTTGTTAAGCCAGCAAAACACTGCATGTTACTAAACCAAGTAGCTATTAAGCCTGAGAAGCATCTCTCCTACCCCGCCACTAGGAATGTGTAAGCCTAATTGGGCATTTTCCTGGCATGATCCAGGGAACCTGAAGCCAGAGGTGTCACCCATAATACACCTCTACCCCGATATAACGCGGCCCGATATAACACGAATTCAGATATAACGCAGTAAAGCAGCGCTCCGGGGGGGGGGGGACCTGCGCGGTCCAGCGGATCAAAGCAAGTTCGATATAATGTGGTTTCACCTATAACACAGTAAGATTTTTTGGCTTCCGAGGACAGCGTTATATCGGGGTAGAGGTGTATTGAAGAGGTCCCTTTTTGTCCTCTCATTATGTGGCCATCCCTGAACAAGACAGAGGATCCTGTTCAGATGCACTTTGGAGCAGGGCTTTGGAGTGGAGCCCGGAGCTGGAGCGTGGAGCAGCTCCAGAGCAGTGGAGCTGCAGGTTTTTGCCTGGAGCTGGAGCTCCAAAGCCCTGTTTGGGAGAACTGTGGAGAAACTGGGCTGGCCCTGAGCTCACTCAATACGCTTCCAGATATTACAGACCATCTGGGCGATGAGTTCTCGTCTGTCTACCTTGTTGGATCAACCTGTAAAACAATATATTGGCTTGAAAAGATTATAGACCTTCTGCCTGGTACCAGATGTGCAGGGGAGGAGGGAGTGTCTAGAAGAGCAATAAGACAGCCCCCTCCAGTCTAGAAAACTGATAGACCAAAGTGCAGGATGTTCTCATTATGGTTGTCGGTAATCAGAGATGGAGCCATCTGTGGCTTCCCTTCTGTAAACTGGTTTTGCTGTCGAACACTTGCTTCTTCACTGGGACTCTGACCCCGAAACTACCCAGTTGTGACGATCTGAATGCCAGAAAGAAAAAATCAACCAAATTATGATGGCTGAATTGAGAGGCAATGGAGGATAGTTGACCCTTTATCTGTTTACAATCATAATTTAAATAGGGCAGATATAAGTGCATATTAAAAATACCGTATCTGTGATTGAATCTCCCTGATCCCACACTTTGTGGGTCACTGTTCTTTCAGATTGTAAACCTCTTGGTGGTAAGAACTGCATCTTCATATAGGTTTG